GGGGGGGGGTACAAATTTTCCATTATAATTTACGGGTTGATCTCATGCGTGCATTAAATTGTATAGCAAAATTTTTCTACATGCTTAAACATCCCTGTTCCCCCGTGCGAGGGTTTCCTACGTCAAAATGGTTATCTGAATTTGGTGACATTTTGATGTGCTCCTCTAATTTTTGAAATTCCACCCTACAAGACGCTGAATATGCATTTATGCATCTATGCATTTCGCAGATAATCAATTACTTTTAATGTGCAAAAAGTCCTGTATTCGACCTTTCAGTATTCTACAGCATGATACGCTCCCTTTCATGCTCAAAGACTAAAGTATAAAGGATTTCCACCCACCACCAAATTTGTCAAATTGGCTCTCTAGTCACTTTAGGCAGAAGTGTTCCCCCGGGGACCTTCTTGGTTTTTTGTACATCTTACCAATATGTTGCAAATTCTAAATTACACAGAGGAAAAGGTGGCAACAGTTTGAAAAATACAAGATAATCTCTTATTTTGTAATTTCCAGTCCTTTCTTACATAAGACTACGCTACTAAAGATCAATGAAGGGAAAGAGAGAAGCCTTATAACTCAAACAAAGGTCCATCAAATGAGAAAATAGATGCACCTACTTAGAATGAGTCATTAACTCTACTATTGGTGGACTGGCTGAACAATAGTGATAGTAAAAGCCTGCGTATCAGTGCCCAATACCAGTACACGCCTAGTGTACTCGGTTGAATATGTCCAAAATACTAACTTTGACTTACTACTTTAAAGCCGATCTCCTATTCATTGGGTTTTGAATAGTATTGTACCCAGATATTCCGAAGTAGACTTTAGAGTCCCTTTATAGAATCTATAGTCTTTATGCAAGTTACCAACAGACAACAACGCTTTTCAAGCGGGTAGACTAGTAGTAAAATAGGGGTGAGTGACAATATCTATTTCTATCTCCTATCTTAAACGATGACTGGGAATATGGATTTAGTATCAATTTATTAAAATTTCTTTGCATTTACTAGTTTTACGACGCAGCGATGATGCTGGCAATTGACGATGTCACCGAAGCGATAGTATTGATCGTTCGAGGTACCCTCTCAGGCAATGACACTCTTGTAGACCTGTTGGGAGCCGGTGAACCCTTTCGCGATGAAGACTGTGATTTGTCTTCTGATGAGCAATGGGTTGTCCATTCTGGAATGGGCCGAACAGCAAATAATATTGTTAATAATCTCTTGGAAAATGAGTGGATTGAACAAGCAAAGGAGTTGCGACCAACATACCCTCTTGTAATCACCGGTCATAGTCTCGGTGCTGGATTGGTCTCGCTGATGTGTGCCTTATTGAAACCGTATTATCCAGAAATAAAAGCATATGCTTTCAGTCCTCCCAACGGTCTTATGAAGTAAGTTCTTGGCTTCTAACAACGCTTTTCAAAGAACATCGAGAAAGTGGCTGCAGTTCATGTCCAATTATCGTACGATCATTATTTATTTATATCAAATGGCAGGCGTTTTGACAGTTATCGTTGGTCTTTTAGTTGACTTCAGGCTCCACAGAGGGGAAGGAACATCAAAGTGAAAAATGTCGAGAGAGGGGGGGGGGTGGAAACAGAAGGGTGTTTCAAAGATGTAAAAGA